TAATGCAAAATACTGCATTAATGTTTTTATATTGATTACATATTGAAATGATAAAGTTTATATATTCAGTTAGAGAAAATCTATTATTAAAATTAATTGCATCTGTTGCTCTTTACTGTTGTTTAAAAAATTATTGATTTCAGGGAAAGAGAGAGAGAGAAACATCAATGATGAGAAAAAACCCATTGATCAGCTGCTTCCTGCATAATGCACCACCTTCCCTCCCACTGGGAATTGAACTGTGATCTTCTGGTTCATAGATTGATGTTCAACCACTAAGCCATGCCAGCTGGGATGCTTTTTACTTTTTATTTATTTTTTAATCTTTATTGTTGAGATTATTATAGATGACCCTCTTTACCCCCCCCCCACCCCTTGCCCCTCTCCACCACATCCCAGGCCTACACACCCTATCATCTGTATCCATAGGTAATGCATATCTATCTATAATAATAAAAGCATAATATACTAATTAGCAGAATGAACTTCTGGATGTCATTCTGGATGTCCTTCTAGATGAAGCCGAGATGGTGGGGGCTGAGATAGAGGCAGTTAGGGGCAATGAGGCAGGCAGGTGAGCAGTTGGGGCACTGAGGCAGGCAGGCGAGTGGTTAGGGGTGATGAGGCAGGCAGGTGAGAGGTTAGGAGCCAGTGGTCCCAGATTGCAAGAGGGATGTATGACTGCCAGTTTAGGCCCAATCCTGCAGAGATTCCTGCAGGATTGAACCTAAATCAACAGTCTTTTCCCAGTTCTGGACCCTAGGCTGCGGGTCTGGTGTGGGGCTGGGATGCTTTGGTTCTCCAGGCTACCTCCACAGAGACAATCTCCCTTCTGATTAAAAAAGGGGCACATGTGGGAGCTGTAATAGCCCACCAGCCCATTCTGTGTCTCCGCACCTCCTACCAGTGTCAGTATGCTTGCTTTCTTTTAAAAAAAATATTTTATTGATTTTTTACAGAGAGGAAAGGAAGGTAATAGAGAGTTAGAAACATCAATGAGAGAGAATCATAGATCAGCTGCCTCTTGCACACCCCCTACTGGGGATGTGCCCGCAACCAAGGTATATGCCCTTGACTGGAATCAAACCTGGGATTTTTCAGTCCGCAGGCTGGTGCTCTGTCCACTGAGCCAAACCGGTTTTGGCAGTATGCTTTCTTTACTTTAGTTGTAGGACTTCCATTCAGCAGCTTTTCAGCGGTTCTGGATAATGGTTGTTCTGTATTTTAGTTGTAATTTTGATATGGTTGTGGTAGGTGCCAGCACAGATGTTTTACCTATGCTGCCATCTTCAAATCTCTACTCTTTACTTAATAATTGTGACTACTAGAAAGTTTAAATGATATAAATGGCTTGCATTATATTTCTGTTGGACAGTGCTGCTGTACCATTAAAATCATTGTTATTCAAACTTTTATAATAATACATTGCATTTAGAAGGCACTTAGAACATTCCAGGCTCTTTACATATATGATCTAATTTTGAATCTTAAATTTTTAATAGAAAGACCAGCACAAGAATTGATACGTCTCAGTTTCCACTCTGTTTCTCACACTAGTTTTGTGTGTGAACTTTTCCGTTTTTTAAATATATTTTTATTGATTTTTTTTTTACAGATAGAGAGAGGGATGGAGAGCTGGAAACATTGATGAGAGAGAACCGTTGACCAGATGCCTCCTGTGCACCCCCTACCGGGATGTGCCCACAACCAATGTACATGCCCTTGACCGGAATCAAACCTGGGACCCTTCAGTTTACAGACCGAAGCTCTATCCACTGAGCCAAACCGGTTTCGGCTTTATTTTATTATTTAAAAATGTATATTTTTATTGATTTCAGACAGGAAGGGAGAGGGAGAGAGACAGAAACATTAATGATGAGAATCATTGATTGACTGCCTCCTACACAACCCCCACTGGGGATTGAACCTGCAACCTGGGGCACATGCCCTCACCGGGAATCAAACTGTGACTTTCTGGTTCATAGGTGACACTTAACCACTGAGCCATGCCAGTTGGGCCTACTCTGTTACTTTAGATTAATTTACTTCTCTGAGCCTCTCAAGTGACTCATTTATAAAATGAGATGATTAAAACAGATGATCTGTGAGGGTTTTTTCCAGCTCAAAATGTACAATTCTGAAAGTAGGGTTTATTTAGTGTTGAGAAGACTAAGGGGTTACTAAAATATGAACTTCAAATAGATAGATATGAATGATTACTGTATGTTTGAGCAGCTGTTCTCATGATAGGACATGAGCCGGCACACTTTAATTGTTTTAGACTTGGCATTTGGATGCCTTCTCTGACTTGGGAGGAAGAATAATATGTTATCGGAGCAGGCTCTGAAGTTGTGGTCCCTGAACTCGTTAAAGCAGGCAGTTGACTTTTCCTGACACTCAACTTCAATGTAACTTCACACAGGCCTTCCCTGATCCTGTGATCTAAACAGACCCCCACCTATTCTTCCTTCTCATCTCACTCTGTTGGCTTCCTCCAAAGCTCTTACTACAGTTTGTAATTGCATGCTTATTTTGGATTTAGTGTTTAGTGTCTACCTCTTTAGAGTGTAAACTACCTGAAGGCCAGGACTGTCTTTGCTTGGCTCCCCTCCTGTGTACCTAGTTGTCACATGGCAGAGCCTGGTAAATAATTGTTGCATGACTAGGTGGATGGATGAGTGTCAGAGATGGTTGATTTGGTGACATCGCTTCTTGATGGAGTTGGGTCCTCTGCTTGCCTTTATTGGTGAGAGAAATCCCAGAGACCTTGTCTCGAAAGGGTCGTTACATACCATTCCTTCTTCCCACTTTCTTCTGGGGCTGGACACCATGGGTAGGTATTTCTTCCATTTTAATGGTTTGTTTAGTGTCTCTTCCCTGTGGACTGGTCAGCCTGCAGCTGGTTTTGGTGGAGGGGTGGAAGGGTAGGTAGAGTACCATTTGCGTCAGAACAGAGCCCAGGGAAGCAGGGCTTGGTCTTGCTTGTTATTTCCATTTTACCTCCCAGATTCACTGTACACCATCCTGTGCTCTAGGAAGTTGATCTCCATGGGCTGCATCAACATGAATCCCTTGCTCTCTGGCTTCTGGTTGAGGCTGGCCAGTGGGAGGGCAGGGCGGGAAGATGTGGATGGAAGGAGAGGCTGAGCTATGTGTCCCTATGTCTCTGTGCTGGGAACCTCTCTGACCCCAGAGCTCAGCAGAGTGGGAGGGAGACGCCTCTGTTGCAAACACAACCCCTGCCTGGGAGCTCTGCTGTGGCGCCCCCTCCAGGTTCTTGCAAACACTCCCCTCTGTCCCTCCAGGAATAGCAGTGATTATGACTCCCCACTGTTAACTCTCCTGGGCTGTTGTTTCACCATTCCCTTTTGTTCCCTTCATTTGCCCACACCTCTGTGAAGAGTCCCTACACTAATCTCTCAATCCCCCATACAACCGGGCCATTCATTTCCTCTGACAGTTTTGTAGGGCACCATTCCCTCATGTTCTTTTTTAAAATATATTTTATTGATTTTTACAGAGAGGAAGGGAGAGAGATAGAGAGCTAAAAACTTCGATGAGAGAGAAACATCGACCAGCTGCCTCCTGCACACCCCCTACTGGGAATGTGCCCGCAACCAATGTACATGCCCCTGACCGGAATCGAACCCGGGACCCTCCAGTCCGCAGACCGACGCTCTACCACTGAGCCAAACCGGTTTCGCCCCCTCATATTCTTGCACTCATTTTATCTGATACAGAGTAGGGACCTCCTATCTCATTGTCAGGGATGGGGCATGAGGTACAGGATCCGAGGAGAGGTTGGAGGAGTATTTTATAGTAAGTCCAAATATGATCACCTGTACCTGAGGTTTCTGTTTTTAATGAAACAACAACAAAAAAAGCAAACCTTTCTTTGAGAGCAGTTTAGGAGACATACTGAGAAAGGGATTCAGCTTCCTTTTGGTCTCTCGCCTGGGCAGGGCCAGCTCTGGTTGCCACTGCTCAGCTGGCCCCACGACCTCAAGCCCCAGGTAGCCGATCAAACTCCTGATGCCTTCAGAAAAAACGCCCCGGTGTGCGGCCACTGCAGCTCCCAGCTGCGGATCCGGCCTCGCTCTTTCTCTTCCTGGCTTTGCAGGCCTTCGCTTCCCTGGTGAGTTCTGAAGCACAGCCTCTGAGGTTGAAATAGCTTTTCACCGAGCAGACCTGAGCTGGCAGCCAGCACGGCTGAGGCGAGGTCACCGCGCTGCCGAACGAGAGGTGGGCTGGAGGGAGAGAATAATAAGACCCGAGGCTGGCATTGATGCACCGCGTTCGAGTTTTCAAAGAACTTAAATGTAAAGGAGCACGTTTTCGCCCCACAAAATGGCCATGTGGGGTGCTTGGCACTGTTGTCCTCACTCTGTAGATGCAGAAAAGGTCTGTGGGGTCCTTGAGTGCTTTGCCCGAAGTCCCAGGGCTGGGGAGTGGCAGAAGCTGGACTGAGACCCAGGCTGTCTGATCTCATATCCATCCGGCGCCCTTTCTGCTCTACCTCTGGTGTCTCTGAGGGTGCAGGCAGCGCTGGAATCGACCTGGGCCCCCCAGAGATTGTGAGCTGGACCTGCCAAAACCGGTTTGGCTCAGTGGATAGAGCCTCGGCCTGCGGACTGAAAGGTCCCAGGTTCGATTCCCGTCAAGGGCATGTACCTTGGTTGCCGGCACATTCCCAGTAGCGGGTGTGCAAGCGGCAGCTGATCGATGATTCTCTCTCATTGATGTTTCTAACTCTCTATCCCTCTCTCTTCCTCTCTATAAAAAGACAATAAAATATATTTTTAAAAAAAAGGGAAAAAAAGAAAAGCTGGACCTCACTGCATTGTCCTGCTCCATTTGAAGGAGAGAACACAGGTGGCCTTGAACCTCACCCAGGGGCTCTGGGACCTCTGGTTCCTGCGTGCCCTCAAGGGCCATCTCCCGCCCTCCTGTCCCTCCTGCTTCTAGTGGCCTGACCCTGCTTTGCTGGTCTTGTTTTTCAGAAGTAGAGCTGCCCCTGAAGAAGGATGGGTTCACCTCAGAGAGCACCACGCTGGAAGCCTTGCTCCGAGGCGAGGGGGTTGAGAAGAAGGTGGACACCAGAGAGGAGGAGAGCATCCAGGAAATACAGGTATTTCTGCGCCCGCGGGGGGAGGAGGGGCGCTCAGAGCATCGCTGGGGACTCCAGCACCGGCATGGGTCCTCCTGTCACGGGCCAGGGCTGCATCTCATGTTGCCTCGTGGCACCATCTCGGGGAAACTTGCACATTCTTTTTTGATTTAACAGAAGTCATTGTTCCTCTCGTTCCTCTTCCTTGATCTACTTGTTTATGTCCTCAAAATATACCTTGGGGGCCTGTTGTGTGCCAGGCATGGTGCCACGTCCTGGGGGCTCTGTGGTGAGCAAAACAGATGGAGTTCTCCCCCTGTTCCCCGTGGAGCCAACAGTTCATAGTCCAGACTCAGAACCTCAGTGTTGCCTGCTTTGGCTGGTGCCACGTGAGTCCCTGCCTCCCCGGCCCCGCCTCACACTCCTTCCTGGGCTGTAGTCCCCTCAGTTTTCCCCTCAGCACCTCCCACTCCCCCTCAACTCCAGGGTAGGAGTCACCCTCCCGGCCGGGTGGGTGTCCCCATGTGTTCATACTAGGAAGGCTCTCATCCAGCCAGATTGCTAGTATAATGGTGTGCTCTGACCATTCCTTAACGATTTGTCTTGAATCCATTGTTGAATATAATGATTGGCACAGTGTTGTAATAATGTTAAGTAATACAGATATGAAACAATAAGGTGAAGAATGAAATACAATTAAAGTCCCATTTCTATTAAATTTATAGTTTAATGTTTTATGTGATGATATTTTATATATTTATTAATTTCACATCCCATTTAATATTTACACATTAATTTATCAACACAATAGTTAATTCAGCAACAGCATCATGTTTTGTGTGCTCCATGGGACTTCCGGTCTGAGTTCCATCGAGTCAGGGAATATGTGGCTGTGCTCACCACTCACCCTTGGGCCTGGCATGTGCCTAGCAGAGTGAGGTCTCAGAAAATGTTGAGCCGAAACTGGTTTGGCTCAGTGGATAGAGTGTCCGGAGCTCTTACCACTGTCTAGTACTTGGTTTGTTTTCTGTTTTCCTCCAAAAGAATGCCAACTCCTCAAGAGCAGGAATCTTTGTCTGTCTTGCTCATAATATATCTCAAGCACCCAGGCAGTGCCAGGCACACACTAAAAATATTTAATGAGCGGTGCCTGAGTGGGCAGATTCCCCCAAGTCCCATCCCCAGTCCTTTCCTTCTCCTGCACTGCCTGCTTTCTGAGCCGATCTTTCATCCTCAAGCAGTCCCTCTTGTGCCACCCCGTTGCTGAAGAACAGTGAAAACACTTTTGTTTCCTACTAAATAAATCCAGAAGGATGAGTGTGTCCTTCCGGGGCCTCTTCTCTCTGCTCCCAGCCTGGATTTCAGGCTTATTTCCCACGACTCCTTTCCCCTGCTCTGTTCCTCAGCCTTCTTCCCTCTGTGCTGTGGTCATGCTGTGTCCTTCATCCGCTGGGCCTTTCTTCCTTTGCCACGTGCACCAGTCCCACCCATCGCTTAGGCTCGGCTCCAGTGCCACCTTCCCCAGGAAGCCTTCTGTCATCTCCCCACAGCTAGACAGTCTCTTCTTGCCTCTGGCATTTAGAGTATTCTAGTACCTCCCCCCCTCCCCATTCATGTATTACCCTCCATTTTTGGACTTTGAGATCTTTGAAGTCAACATCTGTCACATCTGTATTGCCCATTCGAGTACTTTTTGCTCATGTGGTGTAATGTGCCTGAATCAGTGAGTGGGGTAGAACCATTGCCCAGAAGCCTTGATGCTCTAGTGTCTAGTGGCCCTTGCTCTTTGTAGCTGGTGATGGGTTTAGTTCTCAGGCAGCACTGAGCTAACTATGGGTTGTTGACTCATCATCATCATCATCGCCATCATCCCTCCCTAATATAAACCAATGTCGACTATGTACCATCTTCTGTGCTAGAAGCTGAAACCAGGACCATACATAAGCCAAGTAAGTTTACATTTTTTTATTGGCTTTGCTATTTTAAGTACATATGAGGTAAAGAGACAGTTTTGTTAGTATTTTTCATTCATTCATTTATTCATTCATTCGACCAAAGTTTGTTCCGTGCCTCCTCTGAGCAGGCACTGTGCTAGGTTCCAGGGAAAGAGATAAACCACCATGAGAAACTTTATATTCTGGTGTGAGATGTAAACAGAAAACAAGTAAACAAATAGAATATTTGCATTTCAGGACCAATGCCATGAAAAGACAGACTATGAAGATGCAGTTATAGGAGAACACATATTTTAGGGAGTGCCCTAAGGGAGATGGGAATTTAACCTCAGTTCTAAGGGATGAGAAGGAGCCAGCAAAACAAAGGCTTTAGGGAAGAGCTTTCTGGGCAGAGGGACAGTTTGTTCGAAGGCACAGGTAGATCTCAGCTGGTGTTGAAAGAACAGAGAGCCTGTGTGGCAGGAGCACAGTGCCAGGGAGACAAAGGCCTAGGATGGCATTGGAGGAGTGAGTGGGCCAGACCACTCCAGCCTCCCAGGACATAGCAGAGGCTCTTGACTTCATGAGAAATGAAAACGGAAGTCACATGGAGGGTTTTAATCAGGGCGATGAATTTGTGTTTCATTAAGATCCCTCTGGCCCTCATGTGGAGGGGAGACTGCCTACGGGGCCAACATTGGAAGGAGGGAAGTGAGGAGATTTCTACAGTGCTCCACACCAGAGATAATGGAATATTTACTTTCACTTTTTAATTTTTTTGTTAATCCTCACCTGAATATATTTTTCCCATTGATTTTTAGAGAGTTGAGGGGTAGAGGGGGTGGGGAGGGAGGGAAGGAGAGAGAGAGAGGGAGAGAAACATCGATTGGTTTTTTTCCTTTGTGTGCCCCTGTCCAGGGATTGAACCTGCAACCCAGGTATATGCCCTTGACTGGGAGTTGAACCTGAGACCCTTCGGTCTGTGAGCTAATATTCTATCTGCTGAGCCACACCGGCCAGGGCTGATAATGGAATCTTTAAATAAGAATTTCTTCTTTTTTAAAAAAAACACAATCACATAGCATTGTGATCATCACCGTGCAGACTGTTTAGAGTAACAGGGAGAAAGTTATTTTAAAATGTGTTCATTTCCCGGAAAATGTCCTTGGACGGGAAGATTAGCTGCATCTCTAGTTGGACACCTCTGCCCTTCACTCCCGATACAGGATACTCCTTTTCCTCCCTCACCCTGAATACGGCCTTTGTCTGTTAGAAACTCTTGCTTCCTCCCGAGTTATGGAGAGAGGCTTCTGGTCTCAGGGCCTTGGTGCAGGAAATGCAAACACACAGGGCAGGTGCTGTCACATCTGAGGCCTGGCTCACACGCAGGAGGTTCTAGAGACACAGGGAAGGTAGCTGATGGGAAGAAGGAGGGATGGAGCCCAGGGGGAGACGTCAGTTTACTCCTGGACATTGAGGCCATGTGGCACTTCTGGAGGCTAGCTCGGCTGCCTTCACCTTGTCACAGATAATAAATATCTTCATAGTAAAAATGAGAGGAGTCAGAATTGTGCTAAGGTGCTAGAGGCAATGACCTTTAAATTCGAGGCACTTAGAACTTACAATGATTAAATGACTTCAAAGACTCTTCCAAGATGGCTGTATGTCCAGTAAGAACAGTCAGAATAACTACATCTTTTTACCGAAGGCTGCAGAGCATTTTACTAGTCCTTGTCTTGCTTGTCTTTTGCTCATATTCCCACTTTCAGTTCAAAAGCTAAGTGCAGGAGGCTAGGAGGCTTGCTCTGGGCCTGCACCAGCGTCTCCTAGCTGTAGGCCAGAGGTCGTGTCCAGCAGACAGTGCTCCTCAGTGAGATGGCTAAAGTTGGCCCAGAGACTCATAAGGGCTGTCAGCTGATGACTTTCTGGGTAAACCAAACAGAGAAGCCAGAGAAGAATTTATGGGACTAGTTTTGAGTTCTTTGGGAGTGTTTGGTAATTAGCAGTATCCTGACCCCTGTGATTGGAAGAGAATTCTCTGACAAGGAGGCTATGGGAGAAGGTCACTGGTAACTTAATTCCTGGGCTTCCTGCTTTGAGGGAAGGCCAGAGGCATTGTCCAGGAGGTCACTTGGACAATGATGGTGATACCAGATGTTGGTGTGGTAGGTGCTGCTTTTTAAGCCTTTTCATAGCTGTGTGATTGTCATACCGTCACCACAGAGTGGATGCTGTTATCCTTTATATAACACAGGGTCCATCGCTTTGGTAGCCTCATCTTATGTCAGTCTCTCCCTGAGCCACTGAATTCTGGTCAGTCACATGAGCCTCTTTTCTGCTCCCTGACCAAGTTATGTTTCTCACACTGCCTCGGGGAGTTTGCTCATGCTGTTGTATTGCCTGGAATACTTCCCTCTCTTCTTTCTCCCTGTCTTCATTCCAACGCTAGTCTTTCCTTCCTTTAAAGCTCAACTTGCTTAGGTTAGTTTCTCAAGGAAGCCCTACCTGACCCTCAGATTAGTTAGCTTTCCTTCTAATACCATCTAGTAGCAGCTGGAACTTGCTTGTCACTGTTCTTTATAGAAGTTGTAATTACATGGTTATATATGTTGTTTAAATCTGTCCTCCCTTCACTAGACTTTCAAAATCCACGTGGAACCAGAACTGTAGCCATTTTCTGGTTTGTCTAGCATAGCTCCTGTTATGTAGTCAGCTCTAGACAAATGTTTATTGGTTGAATGAGTGAGTGAGTTTCTGTTTTATAATTAGGAAAACGGGCCTGAAGAGAAGATGACTCAGCCTAGGTCACACTGTGAGCCCATAAAAAACCCCCAGGGCCCCTGACATGGAGTCCAGTGAGCTCCGTGCTCTTCCCCCTTATCCCACTCCCACTCGGGGGGCTGGGTCCTCTGCCACAATCTCTTATCTTTCCCTTATGCCTAGAGATGTAAACCTCCCTCAACTGGAGTGAAGTGCTCAGGTTCCCTACAGGAAGGGCATGCTGGAATACACCTTGGAAACTTCAGACACAGGCCTGAGAAACAGATGGGAAACTCTGAGCTGATGAACTTGACCTTGCTTTGGTCATGGATTTTCTGTATGCTATTGAGCAGCCAAATCGGTTTTCAGTTTGTTTGTTTGTTTGTTTGTTTGTTTGTTTATTTATTTATTTATTTATTTATTTTTACTCCTCACTCCTGAACATGTTTTGATTGCTTTTAGAGAGAGAGGAAAGGGTGGGGTGGGAGGGAGAACATTAATCCATTTCCTCCTGTGAGCACTTCAACCGGAGATCGAACACACAACCTAGGTATGTGCTCTGACTGGGATCCGAACCTGCAACCTTTTGGTGTACAGAATGATGGCCTACCAATGGAGCCATCCAACCAGGGCTAGGGTGAGTTTATTCTCCTGCAAAATGGAAATGAGATTCTATAACGACAGACCTGCTGGAGAGAGAGAGAATGAAATTTATGTCTTTAAGCCCCATGGTAAGTAATGTTCTGTAATGAAAATAGACTCATTTTTTTTCTCTTAAAAAATAACAATGGGTGATTAAGAACAACATAATAATGTCAAATTCTGGTCAGATGAACAGGAAGTTACTTGTTTTCATCAAACAGGGCAGGGTTCCAGCATGGCAGGGAAAGGAGAAACCTAGTTTCATATTTAGAAACAAAAGGAAAATTACTTAAAGTAAGTTTTGATAAACTTGGGTCCACACAGAAAATTGTTCCTACCAGAGTATTTTCTTTCTTTCTTAATTTTTTTAATTGTTTAAAGTATTACATATGTCTCCTTCCACCCCTCATCCCCATTGACCCCCCTCTCTACTCCCACCCCCGAGGGCAAGCCTCCACCGCCCCAGTGTCCGTGTCCTTTGATTATGCTAATATGCATGCACACAGTCCTTTGGTTGATCTCTATCCCCCCTCTCTCCTGCCTTCTCTCTGAGGTTGGACGGTCTCGTCAGTGCTACCTTTGTCTCTAGATCTATTTTTGTTCATCAGTTTATGTTGTTCATTATATCCCACATATGAGTGAGATCATGTGATATTTTCTTTTTCTGACTACCTTATTTCACTTAGCAATAATGTTGTCCAGGTCCATCCATGCTGTTGCAAATGGTAAAAGTTTCTTCTTTTTTATAGTGGCATAATATTCCATTGCGTAGATGGACCAGTTTTTTTTTTCTTTTTTAAATATATTTTATTGATTTTACACAAAGAGGAATTGAGAGGGACAGAGAGTTAGAAACATCGATGAGAGAGAATCATCGATCAGCTGCCTCTTGCACACCCCCTACTGGGGATGTGCCCGCAACCAAGGTACATGCCCTTGACCGGAATCAAACCCCGGACCTTTCAGTCCGCAGGCCAACGCTCCATCCACTGAGCCAAACCGGTCCCGGCTGGACCAGTTTTTTAATCCACTCATCTGCTACTAGGCACTTAGGCTGTTTCCAAATCAGCTATTGTAAATTGTGCTGCTATGAATATAGGGGTGCATATATTATCCTATCTGATTGGTGTTTCTGGTTTCTTGGGATATAGTCCTAGAAGTGGGATTACTGAATCAAATGGGAGCTCCATTTTTGTTGTTGTTGTTGTTGTTGTTGTTGAGGAAACTCCATATTGTTCTCCACAGTGGCTGTACCAGTCTGCATTCCCACCAGCAGTGTACGAGGGTTCCTTTTTTCTCCATATCCTCGCCAGCACTTGTCGTTTGTTGATTTGTTGATGACAGCCATTCTGACATGTGTGAGATGGTACCACATTGTGTCTTTGATTTGCATCTCTTGGATGATTAGTGACTTTAAGCATGTTTTTATGTCTCTTGGCCTTCCAGTGTGTTCTCTTTCAAAAAGTGTCTAGTTAGGTCCTTTGCCCATTTTTTTGATTGGATTGCTTATCTTTCTTTTGTTAAGTTGTATGAATTCCCTGTAAATTTTGGAGATTAAACCCGGATCTGAAATAGCATTTGGCAAATATGTTCTCTCATGTAGTGGGCTTTCTTGTTGTTTTGCTGATGGTTTCTTTTGCCGTGCAGAGCTTTTTATTTTTTATTTTATTTTAATATATTTTTTTATTGAGGAAGGGAGAAGGATAGAGAGTTAGAAACATCAATGAGAGAGAAACATCGACCAACTGCCTCCTGCACACCCCCTACCGGGGATGTGCCCGCAACCAACGTACATGCCCTTGACCAGAATCGAACCTGGGACCTTTCAGTCTGCAGGCTGTCGCTCTATCCACTGAGCCAAACCGGTTTGGCCAGAACTTTTTATTTTGATGTAGTCCCATTTGTTTATTTTCTCCTTAGTTTCCATTGCTCTAGGAGCTGTATTGGTAAAGATATTGCTACGCCATATGTTGATATTTTGCTGCTTATGGAGTCTTTTAAGATTTTTATCGTTTTCCATCTTACATTTAAGTCCTTTAGTTTTTGTGTATGGTGTAAGTTGGTGATCTGGTTTCATATTTTTGCATATATCTGACCAAATTTCCCAGCACCATTTATTGAAGAGATGATCTTGACTTCATTGTATGCTCTTGCCTCCTTTGTCAAATATTAATGGAGCATAATGGCTTAGGCCTATTTCTGGGTTATCTGTTCTGTTCCATTGGTCTTTATATCTGTTCTTGTGCCAGTGCAAGGCAGTTTTGAGAGCTGTGGCTTTGTAATATAGCTTGATACCTGGTATTGTGATCCCTCCAGGTTTGAAAGAGAATTGCTATTGCCAAGTGCTTAACTCTGGGCAGCATCTTCACTTTGTTAAAACAAAGTGAAATGAGACCCTCCCCAAATTACCCTTGATTCATTTTCTCCTTCGCATTTTATTTTTTAACTCCTCTTTATTTTCTTGTCATTTCAGAGGGTCTTGGAAAATGATGAGAATGTAGAAGAAGGAAACGAAGAAGAAGATTTAGAAGAGGATATTCCTAAGCGGAAGAACAGGACCCGAGGACGGGTAAGCCGGGATGCCAGAATGATGTGAGCGATCTGAGAGGCGAGGCCTCTAACTTCAACGTCCCACATCCATGGTCTTCCCTGCAGAATTCCCAGAGAGCTCTGCTCCCGGGTGACAGCCTGCAGGTGTTAGAGCTGACCAGAGGAGAAGAGGCAGAGGGTGTCCTGAGGAAAGGGGGATGCTGAGGTTCTGGGGAAGTTTGGGGGTGGAAACAGAGGGAGGGTGGAGAATAAGGAAAATATGATAGCCGTCCCTGTTTCTTGGCCATAAAACAAGGCTGAAAGTTTCCTGCCCCTGGGGCTGCCCCAGAATGACAGGCCAGGACAACTACTTTGGGGTGTGTTTCTTTAGGTAGAGAGCAGGCCTACAGCTGATGGTTCCCAAGCAGGTATGTCCTGGGCTTTGGAGGCTGGTGGAATGTGGCAAGAAAATACCAGAAACCTGGGAAATGGCAGAGGGGAATTCTGTGGTGGAAGGAATCCTAGCTAATGGAGAGGAAATATGCAAATTGACCATTCCACCACCACAAAGATAGCAGTGCCCGTAGTCACAAAATGGCAGTGCCCAGTCTCCTCAGCCTCACTGGAGTCCCCCAGTCCTTTCAACCCTGCCAAGGGTATGGGTGTGGCTGGACCCACCCTCAGCCCCAAGCCACCCAGGGCTGGCTCAAGGCACAGGCAAGTCTCAAATGGCGGCTTCCCAGCCACCCAGGGCTGCCTGAGGCTCATGTAACCAGGGCTGGCAGAGGCTTGTGCTGCCAGCAGTGGCAGCAGCAGAGGTGTGATGGGGGTGTCGCCTTCCTCTGATCGCTAGGTCACCTCCTGCCCTTGAGAGCTTCCAGACTGTGAGAGGGGACAGGCCAGGCTGAGGGACATCCCCTTCCAGTGCATGAATTTTTATGCACTGGGCCTCTAGTTAAAATATAAGAATAGTTCTTGAGGCGGAGGGAACCAAACCAGGATGGGTCTCAGTATTCAGGTTGGTCCTCCAGAGTTCTCATGTTTAAGACCCAAGGGGTTTTTGTGGTCAACTTCATGGGCCTCCAAGGGCATCTGACAATAACCAAGTGCAGAGGGACTTCTGGACGCAAATTGTAGCTCTTCATCTAGAGAATTAACTCTTCGTCCTGTCTCTTTCAGGCTCTAGGCAGGACCCTATGTTTTTCATGGATAAGAGGCTGTCCTGGGTGCACTGTGGGTCTTGATCTAGAGCGAAGTATGGCATATCTCCCTGTGGTTCCCATGTCTTAGTAAATAGAAGAACCACCAGCAAGCCTTTCAGAATGCTGGTCCCCTGGACCTAACCCCAGAAGTTCTGCTTTGGGAGGTGTGGGGTGAGGCCTGGAAAGCTATATCATAACAATAGGTCACGGGTACAAGTGCTTCAGCTCTGCTCCAACCTGTTGACAGAAGCCGGACTTTCTGAGTCTGGGGAGGGCAGCTCTTAGATGCTGCATACCTTATATGGCTGGCATCCCGTTTCAGCTATGATCCCCCCCCCCCTTTTTTTTTTTTTTTTTTTTTATAAGTTTTTATTGTTCATATTGTTACAAATGTTCCTTTTTTCCCCCCCACCATGCTCTCCTCCACCAGATTCCCACCCCACCCTCCGCCCCCTCCCCACTCCCCATTGTCCCCATCCATAGGTGCATAGTCTATGTTCAGTCTCTTCCCACATCCCCCTCTCCCCTTTTCCCCAAGAATCGTCAGTTCACTCCCCTTCCATACCTCTGACTCTGTTATATTCAACCGTTACTATTGTTCATCAGATTTTTTTTAATTTCCTTGGTTTTTGGATTCGCTTGTTGATAGTTATGTATTTGTTGTTCATAATTTTTATCTTTATTTACTTTCTCTTCTGAAAGAACCCCCTTCAGCAATTCATATAATTCTGGTTTGGTGTTGATGAACTCCTTTAGCTTTTTTTTATTAGTGAAGCTCTTTATCTGACCTTCGATTCTGAGTGATAGCTTTGCTGGATAGATTATCTTTGGCTGTAGGTTCTTACTATTCATCACCTTGAATATTTCTTGCCATTCCCGTCTGGCCTGCATGGTTTCTGTTGAGAAGTCAGCTGACAATCGTATAGGTGCTCCTTTATAGGTAACTCCCTTCTTTGCTCTTGCTGCTTTTAATATTCTTTCTTTGTCTTTTGCTCTTGGAATTTTAATTATGATGTGTCTTGGTGTGGTCCTCTTTGGATTTCTTTTGTTTGGAGTTCTGTGCGCTTCCTGGACTTGTAAGTCTAATTCTTTCCCCAGGTGGGGGAAGTTTTCTGTCACTATTTCTTTCAGTATGTTTTCAATATCTTGCTCTTTCTCATCTTCTGGGACCCCCATAATTCTGATGTTGGTTTGCTTGAAGTTGTCCCAGAGGTTTCTTACATTATCTTCAATTTTCTGGATTCTCTTGCCTTCTAGCTTCTGTGGAGGGGTGTCTTCTGGCTCTTTATGCTCCAAATCTTTGACTTGATTCTTGCGATCTTCCATTCTGTCTTTAGGACTCTGTATAATATTTTTTATTTCAGACAATGTATTCTTCATTTCTTGTTGATTCCTTATTAATTCTAGTTGATCTCTTTTCATATCCTCATAGGTCTTATCCATCTTTTCTAGGAAATTCTTGAAAAACCTTATAAGCGTAGATTTGAACTCTATATCCAGCCGCTTTTTGTCCTCCATTTCTTTCATTTGTGATCTATTTCATTGTTGCATTTCACAGCTACAGATGGGGCGGAATTTCAGGGTGGAGCCTGCAGCCTTGGCTTCCGTCAGCCCAGACCTATGCGGGTCCTTCAGTGCTCGCTGCCTGCGCCTCTGAGAGAAAGGTGCCCTCGATTTTCGCCTGCTGCCAAACAGTCAATGCTCTCCCCCAATGAGCCTGGTATTGGGGTTGAGTTCAGTTGGAAGTGGAGTTGGAGGTGGCGTTCAGAGCAGACTGGAGCCCCTGTCTCCTTCCCGCCAGGCAATCCCGCGGCACAGCCGGCCGTCCCTTCTCTGCGCGGTGCCGCCGGGACCTCCTTTCGCAGCTTCCCCGGGTTCTGCCTTACAGCCCGGCTCCCTATGGCTGAGCCTGGGTCCCCAGGGTCTGGCCTAGGCTTGGGTTCAGAGCAGTCAGAATGGGGCCCAGCACAGTCGGAGTTTTATCTCCTTCCTGCTAGGGAATGCCTGCCAGGCACTCAGCCTCCCTCCTCTCCTGCTCCGTCCTCTCCACGCTGCGCGTCTCCGTACCTTGGGCTTTTCCAGCTCTTCCGCGCTTTCTTCTGGTTTTCTCCTTGCTTCTCGTTGTAGAATTTCTAGTCAGTCGACTTTCCTGTAGTTCTGGGTAATGTCCATTTTATATTTTAGTTGTATTTTATTGAAATTTTTGTGTGCGGCTGCGGCTAGGTGTTACCTGAGCGCAGCCATCTTGGATCCTCCTATGATCCCCTTTTGACAGTCTTATTATATTTGTTCTTTTCTTTCACTTTTTTCTTGGTTTGCATGTTTTATTTTATTTAAAAAATATTCGAGGATATTTTTTTCCCCATTGCTTTTTAGAGAGAAGGAAAGGGAGTGAGGGAGAGGGAGAGAGTAAGGGAGAAACATCAATGTGAGAGAGACATCTATTGGGCTGGGAAGTAAATTGGCAATCCAGGTATGTGCCCCTGACTGGGAATTGAACCCTCGACCCTTTAGTCTGTGGGCCGACACTGTAACCACTCAGCACACCGTCCAGGGCTAGTATGTTTTATTTTTTTTATGTGTGAAATATTTGAAAGCAATTCCTAGACATTTTGTCATTTAACCTGCATATACCTCCGTGTATATCTCTAACATATCACTATTATACCCAACGAAAAGAACAACTATTCTATTATCTACTATCAAGTCTCTGATTACTTTTCTCTGCTACACGCATCCTCCCACACGCATGTGTTTTTTTTTCCATGCCATTTATTTGTGGAAGAAGTTGGATGGTTGGTCTTGAGGAATTTCTCACATTCTAGAGTTGGCAGACTGATACTATTTAAAGTGTTTCTCTGTTCTCTTTATTTCCTGAAAACTGGTGGTTTGATTAGATTCAGGATATTTATGTGTATAAATTTTCTTTGGTGGGGCAAGAATCTTTCCCAGGTGTGATGTATGCATCTTATCGCATCACATCGGGAGGCACATGTTGTCTAGGTGCTCTGCTTCTGGTGGTGCTCAGATTGACAGGTGGATTTGGGTGTTGGCAGCCTGATCTCTTTCTCTAAGCTCCGCATTAAGTTTTTACCTAATTGTTTTAGCAGCCACTGATGAACGTGCCTCGACCCATGAGTTCATTGAGGTTGCAAAATAATGAATTTCGGATTCTATCATTGAAGGAGGCTTTAGAATGTAGAATTTCTGGGCTTTTTGTGAACTTCAAGAGCTGTGTGTCAACTCCAAGCCTGCTTCCTTCCCTTCCCTCAGCCCAAACCAAACGTAGGCGAGTCGATTGTGGAAGGAGAATGGTCTTCACACCTACTGCATTCCCAACCTAAGCATCAGTGATTGAACTCCCAGTCATTGAATATGTGTAGGGGGTCTTGGTAGGAGCATTAGCGCTAGCAGCAGCAGCAATTGTTACTTACTGTCCTTACTGTATACCAGGCACTGTGAAGGGCTAGTTACAGTACGAGCTGACACATGGAGAGTGATGACTGAGCACTTCATACTTCATCTGCTGCACTGGCCATTGTGGCTGTGTGCACTTACAATGTCGCTGGTTCAAACTGAAATGTGCTGCAAGTGTAAAATACACACCAGATTTCGAAGATATAGTACGAAAAGAATGCGGAACATCTTCATATTTTTACATTGATTACATAGTGAAATGATAATATTTTGGTTATATTAGGTTAAGTAAAATGCATTACTAAAATTAATTGCACCTATTTATCTTTTTACTTAAAAAAAAAAAAAAAAAAAGGAAGATGTGTCTCCTGGAAAACTTAAGATGACATGTGTGGCTTGCGTTGTATTTCCATTGGCCAGC